TAAAAGCTGCCTGAACAGCAGTAGTCAACCGTGCCAAATACATTCAGCTGTTTACTTTCAAGATAAGCAGTGCTGCGGGGATCTTGGCAAACAGCCCCCACTATTTGAAAGCTGAGGAAATTCCCACTGGGCCTGCTACCAAACAGTTTCTTGCAGCCATTTCATGGGCTTTTACTGCTGTGGTGTTCTGAAGCACTGGTGGTTCGCAGCCTCTCACTGCTCAGGAATCCAGCTGAGCTGCTTCACAGAGCGCTGCTCAGCTTTCCTCCGCTGCAAACGCAATTCAGCCACTCCCAGCTGTGTTCTGCCCACTTAAGGCAATGATTAATTTCCTTCCCAGGGCTTCAATATAAAAGTAATCTTCCCTGAGTGATGTGCTGCATTTCTGTTCCTTTTTGCAACATTTTTTAATATTAGGGTTGTGAATGCTTGTTTTTTCACATTAGAGTTTTCAGAAATATCATGTCTTAACTTCCCATTTCTAATCTCACGGTCCTACAGAAACAGACTGAAGACAAATCTGTAGCTGAGAATTGTATTTTTATGTATTTTTATTTAATCTCTTTGTATGGGAAATGCTACTTATTGATTCATGCCTAATTGCTTACTACCTAGTAATAAAAAACCGTTTGTAAAGCCTGAGTAAAACCTGCTTTCCATCACAGTAATTCATTTTTCAACTGCTGTGTGTTTCTATTATTTGTTATTTCTAGGCTGCATTGTAGGGACTAGCACCTGATAATGACAGTAAAGGGTATAAAAGTTGGTGGTAGATTGCTAAGTTGGGAGGCCCAGCATTTTCTGCATTTGCCTGAAATTAATGTGTATGCCCAAAGCAGCATCCCCTGTTTCTCATGGCAGCTACACTGCTGCAGTTCAGACTGGTGCCCCATAAAGGTAGACTGCAGTGCAGCTTGAAGAATGAAGAAGTAGAATGATTAAAAACAACATTCATGTAGAATTTCCTAGAATCTAGACTGTTGTAATAAAGTGATGAAGCCTGTAATTAAAATATTCTGATGAGCCAAGGAACCATTCTTAAAGTTTCACCGTTTTGCATCTGAGAGAAAAAAAAAATCTGCCTTAATGCCCAGCTCACTTCTGAGTGGTCAAAGGCTTTCATCAAACTGATGGATATTCCACAGATATTTTTCTTCTCTTTCCACACTGAATAGTAACAAATGAGATGATTGCATCTGAGAGACCGCATGGTCTGTACTATTTTGTGCATTTGTGCTAGGTGCTGCACTGAAACAATCAATAGCATTCATTTCTGAACTATTCCAGGCTACAAAATGCCTCATGTAGGATTCAATTACTCTCTGGTAGTATGCTGTAAACAAGGTATTGGGTCTGTAGGCATTTTTTCTGCTTTTTGCATCAGCTTTCCATCAGCTTATGACTCCATGACAATGAAAGATTATATCTTAAAGAAAATATACATTCAAATTCACTGATAGACATAAACTTGAAATTTGATGTGCTTATGCAATTTCATTATTACATCTATCTAACAGTAGCTTCTTGACCAAATGAAAGTGGTGCACTACCACTCATGCCATGCTCGTGCAAGAGTCAGAGATTTGCATAGGAAATACATTGAACAGTGTGTTTCCACTCATGGAAAATTGCCAGAGGAGGATTCTGTGGACCTGCTCTTAATGACAACGGTATTCCACATACATGTGGGCACTTCTTGCTTTTAGCCAGATTAACTTTATGCTTGTTGTGCCAGAAGCATTGAGTGGGAGGTGTTGTCTGGATAAACAGCAGTAAGTGCTGAAGCAATTCTCATACAGTGAGTTGGAATTTGTGAAAAGTAGGATGAGTAATAGCACTTCAAAGATACTCTAGAAGCACAACAAACTGAATGCACCCTGCCAGCTCATGCTTCTAATCTTCAAACCAAGAAGTGGAGTCTTCTGCACAGGGTTAAACATGGGCACAGATGTTAACATGTTAGTGCCTACCCCCTCTGTCAGCAACATCTTTGGTTCTGAGACCACAATAATGATGAAAAATACTGTGATTTCACAGAACTGCCACTTCACCAGCTGTCAGTTAAATTAAGTAGCTGCCCAGAAAAAAAAAAAAAAAAAAAAAAAAGAATCTGAGATTCTGTGTGATTTATGTAAGGTGCTGTAAAAGATTATTTGTAAATATTTATGGTAGGGGTGCATAAATAAGCAGCAGTGTGTTGCATTATAGGTAGATCTGGGAAAGAACAAATTGCTACAATAAGTAGCTGAAATAAGTTACACAGCCAAATACTAATGCTATGTGTCTCTGCAGATACAGTATCAGATGGGCAGTATATACAGTAATTGAAGATTGAAAGTATATACAGTATCAGAAGATTTATTTAGGCATGATAACATCTTCACTGTTGCAAAACTGTTAAATGCCAGCATGTTTCAATTTGATGGTAAGCACAGTGTTTCTACAATTGCTGTGTCTCCTGAAGGGGCTGTGATGTATCTACATCAACTTAAGGCTGTTAAAATTCGGTCATCATTTTGCTTGAAACCTGTTTGTTTTTCTGGATACTTGTACTGTAGCAGGAACTCGAAACATAGTTACGAAACTATGAAAAATCAGGTAGTGGCCATCAACTCCTGAGCTGCTCTAGCCCCTTTGATGTCTTCTTCCAGATGTCCCAGGAAATTTGAGGCCTGGAAATTCATTTGGAATTATAAGCCCAGTGGAAATCATGTCCTAGAATGGCCTGGGTTGAAAAGGACCACAGTGATCATCCAGTTTCAACCCCCTGCTGTATGCAGGGTCGCCAACCAGCAGACCAGGCTGCCCAGAGCCACATCCAGCCTGGCCTTGAATGCCTCCAGGGATGGGGCATCCACAGCCACCTTGGGCAGCCTGTTCCAGTGCGTCACCACCCTCTGTGTGAAAAGCTTCCTCCTAATATCTAACACCTAAACCTCCCCTGTCTCAGTTTAAAACAATTCCCCCTTGTCCTATCACTATCCACCCTCATAAGCAGCCATCCCTCCTCTTGTTTATATGCTCCTTTTAAATACTGGAAGGCCACAATGATGTCCACCCAGAGCCTTCTCTTCTCCAAGCTAAACAAGCCCAGTTACATCAACCTTTCTTCATAGGAGAGGTGCTCCAGCCCTCTGATCATCTTAGTGGCCCTCCTCTGGACCTGCTCCAAGAGCTCCACGTCCTTCCTGTACCGGGGGCCCCAGGCCTGGACTCAGTACTGCAGGTGGGGCCTCACAAGAGCCGAGCAGAGCAGGACAATCACCTCCCTCTCCAGTAGAGGCTGGAGAGTTCAGGGCTTTTTTTAAGAAATAATGCTTTCTAAGCAATGGAAGCTATTTCACCCTGGGCCAATCTAATGTTCCTAGGCGCAATGTAACCAGCTCTACGTTGGCAATTAGATATGGAACGGTAGTTCAGTTTTGAAGCAAATCCCTTAATTGTCTCATCTGCTGTGTCTTAGTTCAGTTTTGGGGGCAGTTGTGGCACTTCTGAAGCAAATGCTATTCAGCAGGAAAATAAATAAGGAATATTACACCAAAGGAGCAGTGCTTCTTCAGGGACAGAAGATTCCTAGCTTACTTGTGGATTCTGCCACCAAAATATCTTCCAGTCTGTGGCTGCCATTTTTCCCTGGGCATTGAGCCACCAATGTAGTAGAGATGGTTGGCCCAGGAAACTAGCTGACACCTCGACCAGGCTGAGCCTCCTGAGGGTCACACACCAGAGTAGCAAGGAGCCATAGCATCGGTCACTTTCATCTACTGATCACACTTTCGGTAGGGAAGAAAATGTATATGAGTGATTAGTGGTTGCTGTACTTAAGACATTAATCCCAGGATTCTGACGACAAAAACCTGAGGCCTCCCTGCTAAACAGTGCTATCCAACATGGGGAGTGGCATTCAGTTGCCTAAATCTAGACGTTTAGTACCATGTTAAATGCTGTAATGTATCCACCCTTGCTACCAGCTGCTGTTTCAGAAGACATGAGCCTTTTCTGAGGCATTTTTTCATATCTGACTGTCCCACATAGACATCTTGGCTACCCAAAGGCCTCTTGACTTGTCACATCGGTTTTAGCAGTGATGGTGAGGACTGTTTTAAGTCAGTTTTACCCACTGGTGTTTGTGTCAGTCTAAAGAGCAAGTTATTTATTCACATGTTTGAAACTAATTGTAGGAGGCAATACTTTATGCGGAAGCAAGCATTTTTTTATTCTGATATATCATACCCTCCACACAGTTAAATAATTACCAGTAAGCAGAACACTAGAAGGAGAAACTTTTAAGATTTTTAGGATAAGCAAATTAAATTTCAAGGGTAAAGAAGTCTGGCTGCATTATCCTTTCATTACTCTGAAGTGCAAAGCAACGGGCAAGGTGATAACACTGTTATCATCATGTGAATCCCAGAATCACAGAATTGCAGGGGTTGGAAGGGACCTCAAGAGGTCATCGAGCCCTGCAGGTTCCCTACAGAGGAAGGGATGTTCAGGCAAGTGTGGAGGTTCAGGTAAATGTTTTTCTTTTTAGTTGGCCATGCATGCAGATGCGCTTGCACATACATACAATCTGTAGCCATGGTGTTCTCAGAGAAATTAATGTCTTTATTCAGTTTTACTTTGCCATTACTCATGTTGCTTTTTATCTGATAGTTTTCAGAAATGTGTTGGCATTGATTCAGTTACATAGGAGCCGTTTGTATTTTCTAAGCCAACTCCAAGCCAGCTGCTGTCGGTGCTGCAGTGCGTATTTCCCCTGGGAGCTGCGCGCAGCATTGCTTGCATTCTGAAACAGTGCATGAGTTTGGTGTTTTTGTGCTGAGAAAGAAAGGCAAATGTATTTTTCTTACCTCCTACTCCTACCCTGTTTGTAGTCAGGTGCTGTCCGCTTCTGCTCAGCCTATGGTTGAGTTGTTGGGTTGTACTGAGAAAGTCCACACAACCCTTCTTTATTCCTCTCTGTCCACTTTGTGTTCTGTCCCACAGTGTCTCAAAATGCTTCCTTCCAAAGGTGGATTGATTTGTGATGTTGAGATAATCAACCATATGTTGCAGCAGGTAAGTCATACATGTTTTCTCAGTAGCCAGTGGCTGCTGGCTGTGAAAGGCAGACATAGCATTACATTCATTTCTGTCCTAAAAATTCTAGTCACGGTCTCAAAATCTGCTAAAAACAGCAAGAGGAATGAAATGTTGTACAAGTCCATTTTAGACTGAATATTTATTTCATCTCAATGCCTCTCTGGTTTCTATTATAGTTCCTGTTTGGGCCCTGCACAGATTTATTTTACACTCATCCTACTGTGACAGAGGAGGAAGTTTCTCAGAGCTAAATCTATTATGAATGTGTTATTAGTTCAAGTCTCATTATTGCATTGCCTTTTCTAATCAAAGCGAAGAATCTGTTATTAACAATGTAATCTCTTTTCCTGATGGCTTGTTGTTATAGATACAACCATAAAAGCAATTGGCTTGAATGGTTCCTTTGCACTCAGGTTCTTTTTCATAACACAGATTACTCCTAATTACCATTTCTTAGTTACAGTGATTTAGAATTATGTTTTTGAGTCATGGCTTTCACAAGACTATGTGCACTGACAGTCTGGAGATAGCTTGGATATGATTGATTTTTCAAAGCTTTGCAGTGAAATTTGATTCATAGTTCTGACAAAATGTGTTTGTTGAGTAAAACCCTGTGCAATCATTTGAAAATGTATCACTTTCATCAGAATATACAACTTTTCTAAATTATATTTAGTATGACATGTAGACTAGTCAGCTCTAAAAATGTTTCCTGTAAGATGGTGGATTACAGATGAACTTGGCAGCCTTTTGTCAGGCAAGACAAACAGATTACAAATACTCACCAGGTTACTCTTCAGTCTCTGAATTTTCTTTTCAAGGTACTCCGATTTACCCCCGGGATGATTGGCTTCCCTTTGAACAAGTATGAAGTCAGGTACAGCAAAGCTCTTAATTGTATTCATTTGCTAGAATTAAATATTTAATTTCAGTGATGAAAAGATACTCTGTTCTCCGCTGCCCACTTTTTTTTCCCCCATAGCTATGTCTGATTTTATATTCTGCTCTTCCCATCTTATTTTGATACCAGAATATCAGAAGGAGAGAAATCCATTTCAAGTCAACATGCATGCTGAGATGTCAAAAGACACAGTGCACAAATCGCTCCGCTTTGTGTTTTTTTATGCAAAGTATTGGCAAGTATCTGTGCTCCAGCATCACTGATTCAGACAACTTCATACCAGCTGTCATCATCCTTGCTTCAGCATTCATTTGAAAAACAATCAAAGTGAAAATTACACTATTCAAATAAAGTGCTTCAATCTATCTTTGATCTGATCACTCAGAATCTCGGTTTTTGAAAGAGAATTTTACTTCTATTTCTAAGCGTTTTCTTCAAGCTGATATTATATTTTTAAAATATCCTACATACCAAACCAAAGTAACATCATTAATTAAATCACATGATTCACGTCGGTTTCTAGGAGGCTACTCACTAGCATTTGAAGGCAAAAACAAGCAAACAAACAAACAAAAACCAACACCTTTCATCTTCTACCTTAAATCCCCAGACAGCTTTAAAAGAATCAACAACCAGAATCTTTGTCTTTGCAAAGATGGATACTGTTTAAATAAAAGACCATGCACCTGTGAATTTCCAATTAAATAATGAGTGAATGATAAGACTGATGAGATTGTATCCAAAGACTAATAAATCTGAGAACACTTGTATGTACTTATATTTATATATAAATGTAGTCTTACCTTTTCTGAATTAAGATTGTTCCGATAAGGGTGTTATGTAAAAGGATTGTTATTGAGGGGCTGTGGGAGCCTTTTATTTCATTTTTTAGTTCTTTTTTTCTTGCTGTTTGATTTGGTTTTTGTTTTCTGCCAAAACTGAAATGGAGGGATCGAAGAAATGAAAACATGAAACAAAATTTTGTAAGTATAACACATGAATTTATCACCATTTCCAGGAAAGTCAGGTCTGAGTCATCTACTTTACCTTACTCCAAAATGGCAGTATCTACAAGAGTTTCATGCATATTTTTTTGGTTCAGCCAAATGTCTTTGCCCTTCTGAACATCCTCATTCCTCATAAAGTACCTATCCTATCTTCCAAATAGAGGCTACATCTTTGAGCACCTCTTGCACTTCTAAGATGAACCTCTACACCCATTTTTAACTGTAATTATTTGTAGTCTTCTAGAGATGCTTAACAAACTTTGAGCTTTTCAACAGCGGGAGAAAGTGCCTTCCAAGGAGATTGGTGTGGGTTTTTGTATTTCAGAGTACAGTTGGTGGGTGATAAGTTCTCAAGAACCAAACATAATTGAAGCACTGAAGAAGACTGCAAGAAGTCAAGAAGGGAGCAGGAAGAAGTAAGTGGTGATTAAGCATTTCACAAGCTCCTAGGTGAACCCAGCCCACCTGTGATCACAGGTAAGACAATAAGAAACAACACATCAGGGTCATTCCAGTGACTAACAGAAAAAAATAAAAGTATAAACTAGGTTTATGTTTCATCTTAGCCTATATGAATCAAGTACAGTCTCAGTCCTGGCATCTCTAAGGAGTCAAATACTTTTTAATAAACCTAGTTTATTTATATATATATATTCTAATTACCAACTAATTTATATTTTTTCCAGTTATTAACATTTTAACACTGGTCCACTGGTTCTTTTAGTGTGAGAAGTGATCTGAGTTTCTTGAATGACATTGCTGCTCAGATAATTTCTATTTTGTTTTACTGAAAATCACAAAGATCATATGAGACGCTTCTATGCTTGCTTAAGTACTAGTGTTATATCTCTTTTTATGTGCTGTTTTAATTGTCCATCAGTTTGCAGAGATTGGAGCCCTCTATTGAAATTTGCAAAGTGTGACACTGGTTGCACACACGTGTCCTGTAAATGTGCTAAGGAAAACCAAAACCACTCAGGCAGAGTTAAAAACCTCCAAAAAATCTGATTTTTCTTATACTAAGAAGGAGTATATATAGAAGAGTTTACTGCTGAACTTGGTGTGTAGTTTGATAGTAATTTATTACTACCTGAACTATAGAAAACTGTTTGCATGCCCAAAGTTCCTGCCTGTTAGAACTGTTCTGTAGAAAGGGTCTGTGTGTAGCTGCAAAAGAAAAAGAACAAATGGACGTGCTCCATGCAAGTCTGCTTGGGCCTAAGAGCAGCTCTGTGGGATCAGAGACATTGGCAAAGCGGAGGGAAGCATGCTCTTGTATTGGAAGAACTGATAGAGTTGAAGGGTGAACAGAAGAGAAAAACATTTGGATATTACCAGCATTCTTTCAGTTTCGCCTCCTCAGTTATCCTTGCCTACAAGCACTGCAGGTAAGGACCTACTTTCTTTTTTCTTTCTTAAAAGGATGCAGTTGGATGAGGGGTGTGTGTGTGCATCTCACAGCTCCACAGGCAATCCACTAGAGGCTAATAATTAAGATAGGATGTCATCAAAGAAACACAGGCAGTCAAGTACTTCTGTGTCTATCCGTAAGTGGAAGCCACAGCTGTAACAGCTTGAAACAAACCGTAGTTAGTATTTTTCACAGAGATGGGTAGTTTATACAGAGCATGTAGAGATAGATTGGAGCTTTGGAAGAAAGGAAGGAATCTGTAAATTTCCATAGCTCAGGATTAGAATGTGACATTTCCCTTCACAAGAAAAATTATCTTCTGGATCCATTCCTTCCAGTATATCAACAACTTTCTCTCAATTACCTTTTAGTTCGAGTGAATAAAAGGCTGCAATCATCCTTTCTGACATGCCTTTAAAACAGCTTTTTCCAAATAATTTTCAATAATAACTGTAATTTAAACTTATAAGCACAGAAGTGCTTTAAAATAACTAGATATTTTTATAGAGAAAGTGATGTCATTCTTCCTATCAGTGGCGAGAATATTCCTCTTACTCTTTAGTATTTGTTTGCTGATAAGTAGAAAGAGAATTAGAATATTAGCCATTACTTTAATGTTAAAAATGAATTACTCTTCTATCTTCTATTAACTTTGACTTTTAGTTTTTCAATAACCAAATGTGGCCTTTGAGTGTATTTGTGCTGTTCTGACAGGACTTGTGTGCATACTTGAGAATGGAATTTGATTCATTGTAAGTACTTTAATCTTCCCGAGATGCAATGAAATACAATAATAATAATAATAATAATAATAAAAAGATAACTTCCAAGCAGCTATCTTGAAACCTTCTTGGGGAGTTCTTTCTGCGGAAGAAAAGAAATATTTCATAGGTTTCAATGCACGACAAAAATATGCAAAGCAACAGCTTTTCCTTGACTTTGGTTCCAGCCTTAAATTCCTGAGCAGTGAGATAACAGTTTCAGTTCCACACTTCTTTTCCAGCAGTCACTTTGGATAGACCGGAGCTGGTTCTCAGATGGGTTCAAGGGTTGGTATTAGGAACATCTCCACTGATGTGGAACTTCTCTTCCCTCAGTGAGACCAAGCACCACTGCAGGATCCTGGGGACACGAAGATTTCTGGGGCCTGGAGTTCTCCATAAAAATCTGATTCCCTCTTACTTCCAGCAAAGAACTGTGTAGAGCAGTGAAAACATGGTGAAATACAATCCTTCTTTGACCTCTGGTGCACCTGTGTGGCTGTTATTCCACTTTCACTCCAGTTATGATATTTTACTTTTTTTTTTTTTTTTTTTTTTTTTTTACTTTAGACCTTCCCCTGTCTAAGATAAGCTTGCATACACAGTGCCTTCTACTTCTGCCAAGGTATACAAAGGGCATGCTTGATTTTCACTGTGGAAAAAATTAGTTGCAGGGACCTAATGAGTCAGTAAACCTCCTAAAGAGTTGGAAGAAAGCCAGATAATTAGTTTGCAATTTAGCTTAAATTTGAAATGATTAAAATCAATGTTTTGTTAATGTAGGTTGTGCTGAAGAGCACCTGTCTGCTCCTGTCAATTAGAAAGATGTACCTGCTTGGAAGTCTTCCTTAATTGATTGCCTATATTGTCACGTAATGATCCTCTTCAGTGCAACATAAAGTTGCTCAGAGTAAGTACTTTTTATAGAGATGAATGACCTATTATAAAATCAGACACTGGGGAGAGAAAGGCAGCTTTAAATGTTGTTTGCTCTCTATATAAAGTAAATGGGTCGTAGAGACAATATAAACCCTGTAAGTTGTGTTACCTTCCTGCATTTTTTTCCATTTGACATTGAGAATAGTGCTTGTTATGCAATGCATCACAGTTCCTGAATTAACTGCAACTGCAGCCCTTCCTGTGGCCTCCACAAACCTGTGAACAAAGCGAGGTGCTTTAGAAACCATGCGATTTCTCGGGGTGGAACCCTGTCATCAGCTGTCTTCAGACCAAGGTTTTAGGCTATAAATCCTGCAGTTTGGCAGCATCGCTGCCTCTGCAGCTCCAGCCCCTCAGTGGTAATTGTAGGGTAATATAATAAGCAGTAAAACAATAATTGACACTTGTGTGCTTTAGCTTACCAAGTCAGTCACCCTTAAGTAGTTCTTTCTCAATTGTTGTTAGGAAAGAAAATCATAAACTACTAAAACTGACAGGAAAAAAAAGGGTAGGGAAGGGAAAATGGAGACGGGAAGAGAGAAAAGGAAACCATCATTGTGCTGACTCCAAGTTAACTGTTACTTTCTAAGGGCATAAGCAAGCACTGATGTTCACGGGACTGTCAGAGGATGTCAGCACACAGCAAACAGCACTGTTACAAGTTCCAGCACCACAAACCCTGTGGTACTGCAAAGGAGCTTGAATCATTGCTAGGCTAAAATGGTGTGCAAGCAAGAAATGAAGGATTCCTTATATAAACAGGAATTTTGAATGTAGAATGCTGTAGTGTTTTCCTAGTGTTCTGTATTTAAAACGTACAGGTTTTAGCCTTAGCTAAGACAAAAAGTGTTGTCAGGTTAATAAGAATGAAAAGAAATAATCATAGGGAAGAGATGTAAAAACAATGAACCTTTTACCTCTTCAGCTAGAATGGATCACAGCTTAAGAATATTGATTAATGCGACTGTGGACTATAAAAGATTAGATCTAATCTGCTCACTGTTAAAATGATACTAAGTACCCCAACATAATATTTTTGATACTGCAGCTGTCAGCACCTAGAGTGTGTCTGAAGAGGTCAGCGCTGAAAGAGGTTCTGTTGCATTTCATCTGCGTTAGACTGTGGTTTCCACGTCACTGTTGTGGCTTGCAGAAATAATAATATTGTTATACACAATGGAGGTGAAACATGCTAAGTACGGAACTATTCAGAATAAAAGGATCCTTCTTGGACCTGGAGTATTAGAGTTCTAGAGGAGGAGAGGTAGTAACAGTAGATATAGATGGTTACAGATGATGTAGACAGTAACAGATGATGTAGCTGGCACAATGTGAAGGACCAGCAGGACGTTAATGGCTGCAAAGCAGTGCATTTGGCTGAGTAATGCTCAAAACAGACTTTCAGGACAAACGAGCTTTACTTTAAGCCTCAGTATGAAGAATTTTACAGGTGTTTGGGTGTCTGTGGGAAGGACGGATTCCAAAGTGTAAAGAGTAATACAGTTGAGTAATACAGGATAGGTTCCTTGGAACTGTGGCAGCATGAGATACCGAGGCATATGACAAAAAAAAGATGACAACATCATGGTTTTCAAGGCGAGAGGAAAGTGTGTTGCAAGCAACAACAAACAAGATGACAAGAATACATGAAACATACTTGTTCAAGACCATCCCAAACACATAGCTCAGGTGAAAATTACAAGGTCATTTGTTTTCAGAACACGCTCTGAGTACATTGAGTGGTTCAGAGCAGAACTCAAGTGCTCTTGTGCAAACTCAAGCATTTAGACCTGTGCTGGCTCTGAGCAAAGCAAGCCAGAGGGCTCTGTGCCATCCTCTGTGAAGCAGGGATTTTTGCCCAGGCCCAGGGCTGGAAACAAATAAGAACAGATTAGCATTTTTTTCTTCTAAACTGTAGAAAATATTCAGAATCATGTCTCCAGAAAGGTCAGAGGAAAAGGAATTGCCTCTCTCTGGCCTATATTTTAAGTAGGCTTCTGGTGCCTACAGAGATGAGTGGATCTAAACCAAAAGAGGGGAGGTTTAAGTTAGATGTTAGAAGGGAATTCTTTACTCAGAGAGCAGTGAGGCCCTGGCACAGCTGCCCAGAGAAGCTGTAGGTGCCCCATCCCTAGAGGCACTCAGAGCCGGGTGGGATCTAATGGGGAATCTGATGTAATGGTTGGCAATCCTGCGCATGGCAGGGGTGCTGGAACTTGATGTTAGAGGAACCTTCCAACCAGAGCCATCCCACAATTCTGTGATTTACAGGAATGCCATGGAGGACCTGAAGGGCAGCAAAGACTCCAGAGTTTAATCACATAGAATTATTGCCAAGTACAAGACAATTACTTCTGGTCTGGAAGGCATATCCTGATCCTGTGGGAAGTGGGAAATACACTCCATGTGTCAGGCCTGGAGGGAAGGAGACTGAGGGCTGCCCTGCCCTGAGCTTCCTGCAGAGGGGCACTGGGGAGAGAGGCGTGTTCCCTTCCCACTGATACCCAACAGCAGATAGGAAGGATGGCTCAGAGCTGTGTTGGAGAGGTTTGGGTTGGACATCAGGAAGAACCTCTTTTCTGAGAGGGTGTTTAGACACTGGGATAGCCTTCCTGGAAACGTGGTTGGTGCCCCATGCCTGCAGTGTTCCAGAGGCATCTGGGTGATGATCTTCATGACAGGTTTATCTGAGGTTCAGCCCTGAGGTGGTCAGGCAGTTGGACTGGGTGATCTCTGTAGGTGTATTCCAACTGAACCATTCTATTTGATTCAGTGCTAAAGGAAAACACATGTGCTTACAGAGGAGAAGGCAGGGTTACACTGAGAGGTTTGTGGATTTACTCAGGCAGACACATCACACTTTCATTGCTTCACTGTCGCTTTGAGAGGTGTTTGATCCTCCCACAGGAAGCACAACAGCAGTAAGAGCTCGGCAGCACCTGAAGCCACTTCCCAGCGTCGAGGCCTCGCTGCTTCACGCGGGCCGAGCAGAGCGGGACCGAACCGGAATCGGGCGGCGCCGAGCCGAGCCGACCCCGCGGCCCACAGGCCCCGCCCCGCGCGGCGGAGGCCGATCCGGCGGCGCTGGCGTAGGCGCTGACGCCGCGTCCCGCCTCGGGGCCAGGCCGGGTAGCGGCGGGCGAGGGGCGCCGTTAGCTGCCGGGTCGCCCCGCGGCGGTGGCCCGCCGCAGGCCATGCGGTAGCGGAACGCGCCGCGCCCGGGCTCTCGGCGGCCATGGAGCGGCTCCCGGGCGGCCGGCGGCTCCGGCTCGCGTCCTCGCTGGGGCTGGGGCAGCGCTGCTGGGAGGTGACCTTAGACGAGGAGCGGGGGCTCCTGGCCTGGTGCGACCCGCGTCCGCCGCGCCGCGGCGCCGGTGAGTGGAGCTGCGGGAGCGGAACGCTCCTGGGCCGCGGAGGGGAGGGGGCGGCGCGGAGCACCTGCCGGGCCGGGCCGCCCGCGTCGGGATCGGCCCGAACTCGCAGGGGTCGGCAGAGCAGCGGCTTCGGGGCGCCTCGGGACGGCGTGACCCTGAGCGCGGCCGGGTCCCGCGGCTTCCTGCCCGCGCGGGGCGCTTTGTCGAGGCGCTTTGTCGAGCCGAGCGATTCCCGCATTGTCGGGGGCTCTCCCCTGTCAGGGGCCAGCCGGTGTAACCCGCAGCGTCTGGGGTTCAGAGTCCAGCCGCTGAAGGCAGATGGCGGTTT